ATCAGGAAATGAGTTTCTGAGTGGACCACTCAAGAGAGGCTGCAGATAGAATTTTCCGTGTTACTCCTGGAGGCCACAGGAAGCTGATCTATGATAGGGGAAGGGAAGTAGACACTTAGCTTTCATCTCCCACTCTGTCAAAACCCTGCAGTAGACATGACTTGTCAGTGTGCTGCTGGAAGCTGAGGCTTAGAAGGTAATGACTGTGTGGGTGTGCGCACATGCATGCCACATGTGTGTGAATGTCAGAGGACAACCTCTGGTGCACTTGCCTTCCACCTTGATTGAGATGGGGTCTGTCTTCTTGGTCTCTGCTATATATACCAGCTAGCTGGCCTAAGAACTTCTGGCAATTCCCCTGTCTCTGCCTCCCATCTTCTCCTGGCAGTGGTGGACTGGGATTACAAATATGACTGCATCTAACTTTTTATATGTGGGTGCTGGAGATCTGAACCCAGGTTGTCAGGCTTGTGTGACTAGTGCTGTACCCACTGAGCCATCTCCCTAGTCCCAAGTGGCCAATATTGAATGACTCCAAAGTGAGTCCAATGCTCTCGAGAGCCGCAGCTACATAACCCAAAGAAGATACAGAGTGGTCTAGCCAGGCCAGGCCCATGTTGGCACCGAGAAGATAATTGGTGCCCTTTCCAAAATGTCTCTGGCCTTGTGGTATCTCTTTCTACCTCCATCCACTAACACAGGGCCAGGCCAGTAAGGAAGTCTATGGTGTCCCTGAGAACAGCGAGGAAGTGAACTCGCAGTAGCTTCAGAAAGAAAAGGATCCATGTGTTCAACTGGGGTACCTTGATATGAACCAAGTGGCTAATGTAACAGAAGCATGGAGTCTGTCTTTGCTAAAAAAATCACAGCCTAGCCGGAAGACTACCCGCTGAGTTCATGTGTAATTTCAGACTATTCACAATTACCTGAAGTTTGTTAAAATACACTCTGTAGGGACTGGAGAGATGGCTCAGCAGTAAAGAGCACCTACTGCCCTTCCAGAGGACCCAAGTTCGAATGCCAGCACCCACATCAGGTGACTCACAACTGCCTGTAACTCCAGCACAGAACGCATGTGTACAAATCTACACACATACAGATAATTTAAAAAAATAATAAAAATATTTAAAACACTCCCTCTTACTTCCAATTACATATCTGGCTGGATATTCTTTACAGAAAGCAATCAAAACAAAGTGTCAAGAGATGAGTAAATGCAGGAGCAGACATGAACATCCAGCCAGACATTGCAGAGATTTGCAAAGATGTGAAAGAGTGACACTTCTAGTTTTCCTTTGTTTTGGAAGTAATTCTTCATAGAAATAGTCTGCTTATGCCATGTATTGAACTTTTTTATCATTTAAACATTTATTTTTTATTTTTAAAAAAACTGTGTGTGTGTGTGTGTGTGTGTGTGTGCGTGCGCGTGTGTGCATGTTGCCCAAAGTGGGCATCAGATCCCATAGAGCTGGAGTTATAGGTAAATGTGGACTACCCAATGTGGGTGATGGGACTGGGATTCTCTACAAGAACAGTACACACTCTTAAACTCTGAGCATTCTGTCCAGCCTATTATCATTATTTTAAATTGATTACCTTTTGCTTTGTTTTGAGAAAGGGGCTCACGTAGCCCAGGCTAGCCTTGAACTCCTGATCTTCCTGCCTCAGCCTTTTGAGTGCTGGGATGACAGGCATGTACCACCATGCCCAGCTAAATTGGGACAAGGTCTTTCCTGTAGTCCCAGCTGGCCTGGAACTTTTTGTGTAGACCAGGGTAATCTCACAGAGATCCTTTTACCTCTGCTTCCTGAGTACTGAAACTAAAGATATATATATATATGTTTTTTTCCAAAGTATTTTTTGTGCATTTCATTCAGAACATTTTAATCATCTTTATACTCCTTTCCTCATCTATCCCCCTACAGACCCCCCACCAGATTTCATGCCTTCTGTCACATATGTTAAGGCCTATGGAGTGTAGCCTGTTGTCCCTCAGTGCAAGCTCATCCATTGGAGTCTAGTCAGCCTATCTAGAGTCTCTCCCTTAAAGAATATCAACTCTCTTTCACCCAGCAGTAACCAGCTGTCCATGGTTCTTTGGCTAAGGTTGGGGCCTGCTGCCAGTTCTATGCTGGGTTTTGTCTGATTGAGTTTCATGGGTCTTGTGAATGCTGACACCATTGCTCTAGGTTCATATGAGCAAGTCCCCAGAGGCCTGGAAGACTGTTTCCTTATGATCACGTACCAACCTGGCTCTTACAGTCTTTCTGCAATGGTTGCTGAGCCGTGGATGGGTGAGGTTTAATATAGGAGTCCGGTCCAGGGACACACTCTTTACAGTCTCTTATTCTCTGCACTATGGCCAGACGTGGCCTTCTGTGTGCACTGTACTCTTGCATGAGGGTGCTTCTCTGATGAGAGTTGAGAGAGGAATTAGTATTCTCTCTACCCTTGTTTCACTATGTTCCATGAGACTTGGGTGTAGAGGTTTCCTTGTAGATGTGTGACTTAGGGCTGGGCATTTCTCAGACACTTATTCTTCTGTGTGTGAGCAGTTGTGAAACTGTAATAGTCTCCATCTGTTGCAAAAGAAGCTTCTTTGATGAGTGGTGACTGGGATACTTGTCTCTAAATATAAAGATACATATTTAGCATACAGTAAGAAATTAAATAAATATTTAATTGCATCAGTTTCCGCTTCTAAATAAAGGCTCCTTTAGGATCCTCAATAATTTAGAAGAATGGCATTCTGGGACTCAGAAACTTGAGACTATAATCAGGATGTGTTTGGTGGTGCTGTGTGTACCTACAGAGCCCACCATCCTTTTTGACGTCATTGATATGCATCTGAGAAGGAGGGAGCTTCTCTGGGAGGACTTGAACAGGCTGAGCAGCCAGAGGGATGGGTTAGCCCGGACAAGGCTTGGTTCTGGAGGACTCTGGAGGACTCACGGCTCCTAGAACATGATTCTAGAGTTTTGAGGGACTATTATGGTTCATGCAGTCCAGTGGAGACCAGAGGCTTTTCCCTGGAGTCTTGCACATGTGGGGTTGTAGGGGGTGGTCCGAAGGCCTGAACCAGGCTGGAGTTCCTTGGCTGGCTGACCCCTTCCCATCCACTGTTGTGTGGTCAGGTGCAGGTGGAGCACATCTGCGCTCCTGCCAGTGCAGAGCAACTGAACAGCCTTATCAGGTCCTTGGCCCTTTCCTGGGCTCCTCCATAGTCATGTCTTTCTGCAGATCTGTATGTCTTTGTGGTAGAGAGTGTGCATCCCAGTGCACTTGGTGGGATCCTCCTCACTCTGATCCTGTCAACCCAATAGGTGGCTTCCTTCAGGTGATCACCCATAGAAAGGAGCAGATCTGCCTGACCCAGCAGAGACTGGGGCTGCAAGACAGGCTGCTTCCTCCCAGGCCCAGCTCTGATATGAACGCAGTCTGCTCATGCAGTCTAGAGGCCAGCCCTAGAAACAGTTAGTTCTCCATTGGTGTCTTCTGCACCACTTTTCCTTTAGGCTACCTGCCCACTGTACTGGGGACAGCACCCACACTATTGTGCCCCCTGCTCTGGAAGGGCAGCTGTTGTCTGTTATTTGCAACTATGTGGATCACCTCTCAAATGTCACAGTGTTAGTTCTGGTTGTCTAAACCCCAAAGCCATTCTGATTCCCCTCACCTCCAAGAGCCAGGTAGAGTTGCTTGGGTCTGTTTATTTCCCATAAACCCCTTCCAGGTCTTAGAGGGGAAGGAAGATTTTTATTTTAATGCAGGTAAAATTCACAAACTGCCAAACCATGATTTTAGCCAATTAAACCTGGCCTAGTGGCGTAGACCTGTAATCCCAGGTACTTGGGAGGCTGAGGCTACCAGCTACAGAAGGATCAAGGTTAACCTGAGCCACCTAGTGCCTGTCTCAAACAGTCAAACAAACAAACAAACAAACAAATAAATAGAAAAATGGGTTGGGAATGTGGCTCAGCTTTAACTCAGTGATAGAGTGCTTGCCCAGCATGAATATGGACCTGGGTTCAATCACTAGTAGAATAAAACAAATAAAAAAGCAAAAAGAAAGTGAATAATTAAAATGATTTTCAGGTTAAATGTACAGTTATGATCTAATTCCAGAACATATTCATCAGCTCCCAAAGAAACTTGTAGCTGTCGATCATATCCAATTCTCCTCCTCCCTAGTCCTCCCCTAGAAGGGCATGATTGATCTGCTTCCTATCTCTATGGATTTGCTTGTCTGAACATTTTATGTAAATGCAGTAATACAATATGTAGAGGTGGCTGGTTTTAAAAGAGAAATTAAATGTTTTCTGAAATGATTATTTTATTTTTTAATTTAACTTTTATTATTAAAATTTTTTTTTGAGATAGGCTCTAATGTAGCCCAGCCTAGCCTCAAACTCACTGAATAGCTGAGGATGACCTTGAACTCCTGACTCTCTTGCCTCAACTTCCCAAATGCTGGGATTTCAGGCTTATACTACCCACATCTGGTTTATGTATTAGTGGGGATGGAACCCAGGGCCTTGAGCATGCCAGGCAAGCAGTCCATCCACTGAGTCACATCTGCAGCCCTGATTGTTCATTTTCAAGGGAGGTCTGAAAAGTCAGGAAGGGGCTGGGGATGTAGCTCGGGTAGAGTGCTTGTCTAACACAGTGAGCTCTGGATTTATCTTCCAACACAGTGTAGGGGAAGATGGAGAGGAGAGGAAGGCAGTAAGGACAATGGTTATGATGATATGGTACATGAGGAGTCAGCTCTGACATTTTCTTTTAAAAGCATCCTTCTAATGATGCCGTTGTTTAGCAGCTCCCAGAGCCGAGAGAAGTGTGACAGCCATTGGTACTCCTGGGTGGTGTTTGAAGGCCATGGTAGTTTCCTGAGCTTTCTTTTGGAGTTGAGCCCTGGTGTGGGTCTCTGCAGTTGAAGCTGGCAGGCTGGATGGGCTCAGTGGAACTTGTCTCTACTCTCCCTTCCTTGTCTTCCACAGGGGTGAAGAAGAGGACCAAAGTCATCAAGAACAATGTGAACCCTGTGTGGAATGAGGTACTCCAGTTCCTTTTCCTGCCTTCCTCTCCATGTCCCTGCTGCCTCTGCAAAGCCGACACCAGAGGCGACTTCTTGGGAGGGAAAGAATGCCAGCTCTATCCTTTGTGTCCTAGGAACCTGGGTGGGTAATGGGAGATCTCACCCCGCAGTGAGTGGGACATGGAGGGCAGACAGTTATCTCTCTTCTCTGCTCCCAGCTCTGGCCAACCAGGCCTCCCTTGCCTGCCTGGTTTCCCCTCACATAGGCCTCCTCCCCATAGAAATTCCCCATTAAGCCAGTGGTAGCCCAGGTCTCCTATGGCTACCTCTGGTTCTGTCCCTTCGTGATATTCTCTGTACACATGTAATCCTTCTGAAGCAGGATGGGGCCAATGTTGAGGTGTAGGGTGAGAGTTTACTTTGAGGAGGTTTGAGGGGCCTCTAACTGCCCTTACTTGAATCAGCACTCACTCACCCTGCCCACCAGGGGCTTGGCTTTTGAATGACCATATGATCTTGGTCTGGGAGGACCCTGAAGGGTCATCTGGCTTTTTTACAATTGTGCTTTTGTCCTGGTTTCCTGAGATGAATTGGGGCTGAGTGGGGAGAAGAGGCCACAGCAGTGTGACTTCCTCTTCTGTTGCCTCCAGCTCTTACCATCACAAAACTCTGGAACTATGGTATCCATCCATCCATCCATCCATCCATCCATCCATCCATCCATCCATCCATCCACTCACCCACCAACCCATCCATACATCTATCGAACCCACCCATCCATGCATCTACCTACCACCCACCTACCCATTCATCAACTCACATGCCTACCCCTCCATCTACCCATTCATGCACTTACCCACCCACCAATCCACCCATCTATCCCACCCATCTACCCACCCTCACACCTATCCACCTATCTACCCATCCACCTACCTATCCACTTACTCACCTATCCATCCATCGATCCATCCATCCATCCTCCCTCTTACGCATCTACTCCATCCATCAACCCACCTACCTATCCATTCATCTACCCACCCACCCTTCCATGTATTTACCCCATCCACCCAACTCCTCACTCACTGATTCATTCATTCATTCATTCATCCATCCATTCACTTACCTACCCACCCATTCGTATACTTACCCATCCACCCACCCATACATACCCTCACTCACCACACACTCACCTACCCACCCATTCATCTATCCATCAACTATCCACTCATCCATCCACCCACCCACCCACCCACCCACCTGTCTACATGCTCACCCCCAAGAACCATTCTTGGGTGTCTGCTCAGTACCCTGAAGCTACAGGTTAAGGTATCTCTTTCTCTTTTGTTCCAGGGTTTTGAGTGGGACCTCAAGGGTGTCCCCTTGGACCAGGCCTCTGAGCTTCAAGTCGTGGTTAAGGACCATGAGACAATGGGGAGGAACAGGTGAGTAGGCCAAAGGAGCACCTAGGACTTGAAGGTACAGGTAGGTTTTGATGAACCAGTGCCCCTAAGAAATGGTGCTTCCATTCAGTCCTTACTTACTTAGAACTGCCTCTCCTGTGCCTGGTCTGTGGTGGATGCTGGGAGGAAACCTGGCTGTGACCTTGGAACTTGGCGGTGGTTGCTGTTAAGAGTGCCCAGGCTGCAGGGGAAGGTAGGAGTGCTAGGATCAGATGTCCAGGAGTTTTCACTGAGAGCGCAGGCCTTAGGGAACAGGGAGGAGAAGGCTCCGTGTCTCCTGCTGTAGTCCGTGGCTCCAGGGAGGGGAGACTCCTTGCCTCTTCCATTATTCGAAATGATGAGGGCAGCTGCACACACACTCCAAGAGGCTGCAGGTAAAGCGAAGCTGCAGGTATCAGGGAGCAGTTGAGGAGGCCTGCATGTAAGAAGCATAACCTGAGGTGAGATTTGTGGTGCAGAAGTCAGAACAGTAATCCTGGGTAATAGCCTGGCATCTCTCTGAGGCCAGATTTTAGTTAGGTACTTTCATTTATGTAGTGGAGAAGGTTTCCAGGTGGCAAACTCTCAGGAGCAAAATCTTGGTGGCAAAAGCAGGCTCTTTCTTGATGGATGGCCTCCTGAGCCTTGTATTTGCAGTGGTGGGCGAGGTCTTGATGGATGAGTTGATTGTGAGTGTGAGTGGCCAGGAGGCACAGCCTGTAAGGCTACATGGTGACAGGATGACAGGACTTAGGTAGGGATGGGGTCAGTGGTACATACCTAGTGGTATGACAGCGTGCAGCTGTGTTGGGTGGGCTTGTGGGCCTGGTGCTGTTCGCTGAAGTCTGGCCTGAGAAGCATGAGCTGGCTGCTTTGTGACCTGTCCGCAGGGGAGCCTTTGTTTGGGAACTGGGTCAGTTATGTTTGGGGCAGGGAGTCCTGGCTCTGTGACCCCAGAGAGGATGGGGAGGGGAAGGAGGAGAGATCAGGAAACTAGGAGGGCCTAGTTTGCAAAACACCTGCAAAGTTTGGAAATCTTAACAGCTTGGAAAAAGAATCTAATGATTACTGTTTCTTTGTGGCTCTCCTGGCCGTGGGTACAGGGTATAGAGTACCAAGGGAAGGCAAGGGCACTCTCCATGCCCTCTGAAGCAGGGCTGGGCGATGGGGGCCCAGCTGACTGCTGAGGGTACTCTGTGCCTCTCTTATCTCTTCTACTCATGACCCCTTTTCACCCAAGAAAGTTTTACATGACTGGGTATATATGTATAGAAAATAGGTATACAAATTAAACATTTACTAATAATAGGCCATAAATAACCTTTTTAAAAAAATAATTCTTTGGTATACATATAATTTTTTTTAGAAGAAGCATTTCATTACAGCTTTAACATATTCAGTAACACACTGCTGAGGGTACTCTGTGCCTCTCTTATCTCTTCTACTCATGACCCCTTTTCACCCAAGAAAGTTTTACATGACTGGGTATATATGTATAGAAAATAGGTATACAAATTAAACATTTACTAATAATAGGCCATAAATAACCTTTTTAAAAAAATAAAAAATA